CTGGAAATACTTAGACAGTTGTCAGCAGCCGACAGACACAACTATAGAGCACTGGTAGCGGCTCTAGAACTCAGGTACAGAACCCAAAATCAGTCGGAAGTCTACAGGTCTAGGTTCAGGACGAGAGTCCGTGCTAAAGGGGGGAGCCTGCAAGAGCTGGCACAGGTTACTGGCAGATCTTGATGGAGACAGAACCTAAAGAGAAGACAGCCTTTGTGACACCATACAGATGCTACCAGTTCAAGAGAATGTCATTTGGGTTAGTCAACTCAACAGCGACATTCGGCTGCATGATGAGGAAGATGTTGCACAAACCCATCAACATTGAGCATGATGTGGATGACATTCTTACCCACACAGCCAAATGGAAAGACTACCTGAAGAGAGCTGTTTTGGTGAGTGATAGCAGCAGGTCTGACCAACAGACCATCTAAGTGCTACATTGGTTATTCTGTACTGGACTTCGTTGGTCATAAGGTGGGTGACCGACAAATAGCCATGGAAGAGGAGAAGCTAACCTGAATATAAAAAGAACCAACTCTGACTACCAAGCAGCAAGTAAGATCCTTCCTTGGGTTAGTGGAATACTGTAGAAAGTTCATCCCAAACTACGCTGAAGTCACTGCACCAGTGACTTACCTGACCAAGAAAGGCCAACCCAACAAGGTGAAGTGGGAACAGCCACAGCAGATGGCATTCCAGAAGTTGATGAACATGTTAGAAAGTTTGCTAATCCTCAGAGTGTTAGACTTCAACAAACTGTTCATCATTCAGGCCTATGCTTCCATCCTTGGACTTGGAGCAGTATTTCTGCAAGAACATGTAGATGGACTGTTTCCCATAATTTACATCAGTAAAAAGCTGTTGAGTAGTGAGAAGAAGTACTTTGTGATTGAATGAGAGTGCCTGGCCATCATATTTGCCATTCAGGATTTCCAGAACTACCTCAACTGGAAGGAGTCCATTATCCAGTGTAAAGATCCTGAAGTGAGTGTTGTACCCCCAGAACTACTGGTTCCATACTGAGGCCATCAAGAGGACATCAAATGTTGGTGCAGAGTGTTTGACAAACTTTGTGCATGAACTCAAATTGTCTCTGTATATAGTATACAAAATATTGTAAATATGTTTCTTAAAGAGGAGTTTATTGTTAGGTATACACGACTGTTTCAGTTTAAAGTGAGTGTTAAATTTAATTAGTTTTAGAAGCAATAGTTTATTGCAAGTTTGTTTACATAACTGTTTATGAATCATACTTTGTGTAGTTCGCTATTTATGAATTGGTGATTGTTATATTATTGCATCATGTTACAAAAACGTTATGAGTTTTGCCTATTGTTTTAATTGAGTATTATTGCATCATAATATTTAGTAGCATGTGGAATGTTCTAGACCACTGTTGGGGTATAAATATGCATCGCAAATTTAGTTGATAGATAGATCTAGACTACATGATTGTGAATCTAGCCATAAAGAGCATATAGTGGCGATTTTTATAGTGAACTTTTCACAGATTTTATTCTAATAACAGAGTAGAGAAGAATAATTCGTCTTGTTCATTGTGTTCTAAAGTAATTGAACCAGACTGTGTGGACTTTGAAGAAAAAACGAGACAATTATTTAAAGCTCTGGATACAACTGTAGTAACAAACAGTTATATTGGTGATTTTAAAGTGAAATTATCACAGACTGTATTGTAATAACAGAGTAGGAAGCATGGTTAATTTCGTCCAGAAAGAGACAATTATTTAAAGCACTGAATACAGTTGTGATAACCAACAATGTAACAAACATTTGTATATATGTTTTACTTGTTTTAATATATTATCTTAAAACAAGTGGACAGTGTTGCTGTTTGTTTATTGTTGAAAGTTATCACCAACAAATCACAGACTCCTACTATAAAGAATATGGTCCATACATAAAACTTGACATGTATGTACATTTTATATGAGGAAGAAAAAGAATATCAGCATTTATTTCACTTGCCTTAGTTATTCCATGCAGTTAAATCAAGTTCAATAATTATTATTTGTACTTAATGAATTTAGAAATACTGTGTATAAAACTACAGGGTGTCTAAAAAGTCTGGAACCATAGGTGCTTTAACGAATTGTACAGAATGTGTTTCACATGTCATCCGTGTAATTAAAAACAAGTTTGGAGATGGTGTTTCCATTCTCTTTAAACACTGTGAAGCATATTTATGTCATTGTCAATGATTTGACATTCATTTCCTTAAATTTAGCTAACAACTTCCCAATAGCAATGTGAGTAATATTATTCTTTCTCTCTCTCTGTGGATGGTGTGCATTAAATTTGGCAGCAACCTTCTCTGCTACACAGCAGGATTCACTCTACCTTCTCACACTTTGACAGTGCCATAACCAGTCATATATTCGAAATTAAGAAAAACTGCAAATTGCTCATGGTTCTAGACTTTTCAGATACTCTGTAGAAAAGGTATCCTGTATAAAATAGTAACCACTGACTCTTTCTGGTATCATTTTCTCACTGGTTTTTGCATTCTACTTTGGGGTAGTTGCTGTTTTATTAAGAATGCTGGTCAAATCTCACTGTCCAGCTCACATACAGGATCCTGATAGACAAAACTTTGAAGAGCTAAATATCTTTTATGTTTACGCATGATAGGATTGTACTAAGTTTACCCATGTGATTTCTGGGTATAGAAATAGTGGGGGTGTCAAGTAAGTTGGTTAGTAAGGGTGATCAAGGGTATCACAGTGATCTGTTATGTTAGAAATATTCTAAAGAAAAAAGTTATGCCAGGCAGGAACAAATTTGTGGCTCTTTGCAGGACAGATGCATTCATTAACAAAGTTGCCAAATTTTGAACACTTGTGTTAATTCTCTTGTCATTAGTTGGTAAAAACATATTTTAGGTCAGAGATTCACTTTTTCCAAAATTTATAACCCTAAAAATTTTCTGTTTATTTTTGAGGTCTAAAAAGCATTTCACAAATATATTTGGCAAGGTGTAACTTCATCAGTTTTCTATCAGCTATTGTGGATTATAAAGTTTTCAGAAGTGATTTGACCTACATTGTTTTTTTGTGCTCTGATATTTTTATGCTGTAAGTTCTGAAAACAGCTGCATGCAAAGAGGGAAAGTTGCTTTGATCCTCCACAGATGTAACCTAGTAGACTTACTGTTTATTCAAAATAATATAGTATCACCAGCTCCCTGCCACAGTATTGTGATATTACTATCTAAAATAATGATAATCAAATTTGAAATGTGTGGTATTAGTTTAGTTCTTTTCAATTATCTTGTGAAAATAACTCAATGCTCAGTCCATGTAATAATAAATTACTTTATTTCTTCCTTTAAAGTTTCTACAGATTTAAACACTGGTACACATCCTTAAATTGCTGTAAGCCTACATTACAAATGATGTTACCTGAAGTAAAACAAATCGACTAACTTGTACAAAGCAACCGTGATAACTAACACTGACTAGTTCACAATCTATTATGACATCACTCTGTCTGTCTTTATCATCCCTCAACTATCCTGGTAGTTATAATCAAACTTTTAATGTGCTAGAATACTGTCACATTCATAGTTTTCCAGAAGTTCTAGGCCTGTCGTATTAACCCTTTTGTTCTTATCATCATTAAGACCCTCATCTCCTTCTAGCTAACATTTAACTTATGACACTAAGAATATAGGTTACAACAGTACTTTTAAGTTTTACTTGCAGTCTTTTACAACTTGCATAACAAATATAGTAGACACAACAGAAAACCTACAGTTATATATTATATTATGTACACTTAAGTATTAATTATTAAGTGCAGAATAATATTTTACAAACATTTTTTTAATGTTTTAAGCTACCACTTCTATTGTAATTTCTTCAGTAACATACACAGCTTCTTGGTAGGATTTGTTCATAATTTAATCAGTTTTGCCTTCACTAAATTCGTCACTCATTGTACCATGTGTTTCTTTGATGCCAAATTCCGATAGTTGCTGTAAAGGTGGTTTGGGGAATGTCATCATCTCACTTTCATTTGCATAAATTAAATTAGTTATCGGCTGCAATTTCTCCTTCAGAGAAATGTTCTTATACAAAGATTCAATGTCCAAACTAGCACTGTTTACATTTCTATCAAATTTTAGATCCTGAATATCACTGGAAAACATAAAACTATCTTTTATGATATCATACTTAGTATGAGTAAATGGATCCAAAAATTCCACTAAGAAGTCTATTTATTCATGATGAAAAGCACCTATATCTGACATAATAGGCTTAACTGAACAACCTTCTTTATGCATCCTTGAACTACCATATAAATAATCTGAAGGCATCCAAAAGGTCTTATCTTAAAATATTCCTAGTTGGCAATAGATTATCTTTTTAATTTCTATAACAACTTTTATAATCTACTGACAGAGACTCACAAAATATTAGTGGTCAAATTAATATTTTACTGCAAACAGCACTCTTTTTAAATACAGAATTGCTAGAATAATACAAAAGATTTGCAATCATAGTTATTGAAATCTACAAGTCCACTTGTCTTAATCCTAACAATACTTAAGCCATTATTAAGTACAGCTTATATTTGATAAAGAGATAAATTAACATTGTAAATTGTGTACATTGTTTGCTTTAGTTAGGGCTAAACTTAACTGTACTTAAGACTGTCAATAAATAAGCTTAGTGTTATTCTGTGATGTAACATTAGATATTTTTAAAAACTTTGATACACTTTTAATATATTGTACAAAATGTCTACTAGATTATATTTAAATCTGCCTTTTGTTTATATCTATTGAAATGAAGTGAGCACACATTTTCAGGACAAATAAAATGTGTATTATTATAATAGATTTTCCCTGGTTTTAATAAGATCACTTTCAAGTTTTTTGAATTTAGTATTTTCATTCAAAATACATTCTATTTTTAGAAGGAAATCAGATTAATTGAAGATAACACTACAACACTATTTCCTTTATCAGGTTTCATTATCATAATGTGCTTATTTTTTCTTATTTTTATAACTGCATCCAATACTTCTTTATTACAGTGGTGGCAATAAAGACGAAGGTAAAAAAAGGCAATCAGAAAAAAAAGACAAAGAAAATTACACAAAGAGGTAAAAAAGTAAAAAAAGTGATTAAAAAAAGTCATGTATTTTAGGAATGTTGTAAAATGACAAATTCTGAAATAAGCATTTTACTTTTTTATTATCACATACTTGCATAAACCCTGTTATGAATTAATTCTGTAAATATGCTGTAGTTGTACAGATATTTCACAAGTTAAATTGTAAAATCTAACATAAATATGCTATAATATAAGTATATTCTGTCACAAGTTAAACTGTCCGTACTAAATATATTCAGCACCAGCATTCAAATCTCATGTAGTTAAGTGGGCTCAGTTATATACTGATATTCGTATGCAGTGGCCAATCCCCTGAAAGAATTGCTCTGTTGTTAATAGCAAATGTTGAACAATAAGGGGAAGCCATTGATTAGAAAACTGTATTAAAAACAGCTTAATCATTAACTCAGTTGGTTTACATGGTTTCAATAATTGGCTTAGGCTTGGCTTAGTTGTTATTGATACTGTTTTTCAAAATACTTTTAGGACTTTTTTATGTAATTTTCTTTGTCTTTTTTTCCCATTGTCTTTTTACCCTTGTTGTTATTACCTAGATTCTCTTTATTAATATTAGAATATCTAAAGTTATGATTTTAGTTATTTGAAGCTAATAAATCTGTACTGTTGTTTAAAGACCTGTTTAAGTAAACATTTGAAGAGTAACAATTAACTTTCAGATTTATATTTAGCAGGTAGTATGGCAAATTTCAAACCTTGTAACATCACTTTCTTTTCATTTCCATCTAGCTTATAAATAGACAAAATACGTATGATTTTACCTGGATAAATAATAAAACATAGCTGCTTTCTCAACTGGTTTAATTTATTTAACTGTTTTTGCCTGCATTTAAACAAACAGCTATTACTTTGTGTACAGATTTAATTGTATAAATGAACATAATCTCATTTACTGACCTTCCGTTTAAGAATCAAACAAACTTCTTCAAACTGATGTGTATGCCTTGTTTTTCTCTTTAATTTCAAAATTTAATAACTTTTTTTTACATTGTTGAAATTGTCTAACATAAATTAAACTGCCTAACAGAAACTTTAACCAATTTTGGGGAACTTTTAGCTTTTACACTCATCAAAAATTTATAATGTAACCCGCACAACATTAATACCAAAATTCCACATCCATTTTTACAACAGGTATATGTTTTTTAAATTAAAGCATGATAAGTTTGACTACAAGTAAAAGTATACCCCACATTATACACCATAAATTATATCATAATAACACAAAAAGTTAAATATCACAACATATCTATTCAAATAAAAACAATATTTAAAATCTCCTCCTTTTCACAGTACATACACATAAATTAATTAAAACCTAAAACCTCCACCTTGTGTTTCAAGTATTGCAGTTTACCTCATAACAAATAAAACCTTAAATATTAAAAATTCAAATATACAATTCAAATAAAACACCTCTTCTTCATCACAATGCATACACTAATTAAAATCACTTTAACTTAAAAAAGTAACTTAACTAAAATTGGAAAAGTCTTGAAATGTAACAAGCTTTTGGACTAATTCAAAGCCCATTTTCAAGTAGAACATCATATACGGTTGACTTCCAGTATGTGAAAAAACTTTCAGTGATTCACCACAGTTTTAATTACAGTTCCATAGATAATTCAGCTTCATTTATTTGGTTCTTTAGCTGCTTAATTAACAAAGTTTCTTTAATATATAGAATGCTTTCATTGTTGCTTCTAGCCATAACCTAGAAGTGAGCATTGCTTACTTCCATGTTGCAACTATGCACAACATGATCTTGTATACTCAAATTGTTGTCACTGGGAGGTTTTCATGTTCCTGCACTATAGTTTCTAGCCATCTAGTAGTAGATCCTATATAGCTAGTATTATAAACACGACAAGGAAATTCATATATACAACATTAGATGTTTTATCTTTAAACTAAAAAAGTAAGTTTGTTCATCTACAAAATGTTGTCTTTTTGAATCTGTAGTGCATACTATAGGGACTTACTCATTTTGATAATAAAGTTAGAAAAAAAAAGGCCTTTACATTTCGGATAATTATAAGAGAACATTTATATCAACTGACATTTCACCTTTGTGGTTTCTCAGGGCTAGTAAACTGTTTGATATTACAGTATTTCTTAAATTATTAAACTGTTTCTGATGTTATATTTTTGCTGTAACATGCTTCTAACAATGTATAGAATATTATTATTGTTCCACTGTTGTTCTAATATTATAGTATTACCATACTAACATTTGATGTACATTACTTATAATTATCTGGAATGTAAAGATCGTTTTTTTTTACTAACTTTATTATCAAAATATGAAAGTATTACTTAAATTTTAGTAACTTCCAAAAACATTTGATTCACTGCAGTGAGCCAGAACTGCAGGTGTCCGAGCAACTGTTTACATTTATTTGGAAGGGATTGTTTATTCTGTTAATGAAATCTTGAGGTACTTGTAGCCAGTTCATGAGTCTTCTATGATTGGCCAACTTCCATTTGTCTGATGACTCTCAAAGGGAGTAAAACATCCAAATAACTTTTTAGAGGTCTAGCTATGATTCTTGAGCAAGTTGGGGCCCTTTATATTTTGTGATTTACTTTAAAGTAAGAACAAAGAAAAGTTGTGTATAACCACTACAGATATAGTATAGGCTGAATGACCTGATTTTCATAGCACTCACTGCAGGGAAGGAAACTGACATTATTTCATATCATTGGTTTGCCTTGTCATAACAAGGTGTAATTACATTTTAATTGTTTTGTCTGGTGTAGTATGAACTTCATGCTGTGTGGCTAATTTATTGATAGAGTCAATTTGAAATTAAAATAAGTAAAAGGTGGATATGACTTTGCACTATGTATTAAATATTTACATATCTCAGAACTGAGCTTTTATACTTTTAATAAATTGTTTTCTACAGAGCTTTTCTCTGGGTGCCTATTGAATTTTTGGCATGTTAAATACATTGCTTTTTTTCAATACATACATACAACTATAGTAACTCTTTATACTTGTACTTTAAAGTTATGTTGAAAGAAAAATAACTTGTACAATGAACAATACAATGATTTTAGAGATAAAGATGATACTACTCAACTTACTACATATAAAAGTAGGTTTTGAACATCATTGAAATCCTAAAATAAGAAGCTATTCTTTCAATAAAGAAGTTTTATCTTAACAAAACATACACGTGTTGTGTAATGTATTATCATCATAGAACCACATGTTAACCCAAGTTTAAACATATACTGTGTCTGTGGCCCAGTCACCAGTGCGCAGGTGTAACATTGGGACTCAAATAGTTTATTTAGTGTTTAAACTTGTTGCACGTCTACATCATGATTTCCCCATTAAATGGAAGATTATGTATTCATATAATGTGTATAAAGAGTGTAAAAAGTATATAATCGTATAAAACAATTGAATGAAATGTATTGTAGATAAGTTGTTGTCCTTAACCACTTCTGTTCTTTCATATAATACAGTGTATTGTTGGATATTCTAATTGTGATGATATGAACTCCCGGATTAAAGAACATTATAAATAATGTTGACTTTATTTGTTAATGTACAATTCCAGTTTACCATATTTGTTGAGTTTTATATTTTTACTTTCATGACACTAAAAACGGATTACTGTAAAAAAAAAAATTGGAAGAAAGTCCTCTAGCCTATGTTACAAATATAACTGCTGTAAAGCTTAATATTTGAATAGAAAATATATGATTTACTGTTTTTAAAAATGTTATTGCTTCCTTGTTAAAACTTATTAAGTTGCTTTAACATGTTAAAAACTTTCTGTGTTCTTATTATACAAGCATGCGATGGTTTTCCTGCCTTGAATTTGTTACATGTTCTACAGTAAGTCCTGTACGCCGAATCAGAAAATCATATCAATTTTTCTCTGTCACGTACATATTTTTCACAAAACGTCATAACGCAATACATAAAAGAAAGATCACAACATGTAGTTTTGAAACTAAAAGACATAGATTTCACAAAACATCGGGATGAATGAGGATGCATTCGTTTGACACCAGTGTTCTTCTCTTTTCTTTAGTTTGTATTTTTGTTAACAATAATAATAGTAATAATAAAATGCTCATTTTGGTAAACGAAATAATAATTTGATCTAAGTTAGTTTTTTTCTTCCCGATTTGTAAAAAAAAAACTTACATGATAGAAAAAAAAAGAATATATTTTCGAAATCTGCGTAGCTGAATTATAGAAAATCAGTTATTAACACCAGAACAACTTTTATGAAGTTTAAATTCGCAGGTCTGTGTTATTAGCCTAGTTGACTCACAGGGTTTACGAACATATTGTATAGATAAGCATAAAACATAGAAATAATGTACTTATATTTTTCAAGTAAAAAAAATATTGATGAGAAATAAGGCATGCATACAATGTTATTGTATGAAAATAGATCCAAAGCCTGATCTCTCGTTTAAATTTATATATTTTTATGATAATTTTATAATATATACTTCTCATGTATCAGGAGTACCACAAAAACTTAAATAACAATTTAATATTCAAAAATATTAATTTTAGACTGGTTTTGTGCATCATCTTAACGATTTTTATTAGCAAAAGACTAAACTAAAAGCCTTTTTTTTATGACTAAATACGTACAAGAGAAATTTAAAACTAGGAAAAATAATACTTAAAGAAAATGTATGTAAATGTTCAAAGTTTTGGAGTGACTGTCAGTAACCTAGTCAACTATATTGATAAGAATGGGTAGTCTCGTTAGTTTTCTGTTAATATATAACTATTGTCCAAGTTTCCATTTTATTGGGTTATGTTTTTTGGTTATGTGGATATATTTTTGAAACGAATCAAATTAGCTCCAGGAAAAAGTAGCTTAGTTGATCAGATTTAGGATTTTCTAAATCAGAACTTCAAAGTTTTATACATATGGAATATGCACAAACTTCTTTGAACTTCCAAAAACTATGAAATCCATATAATTTGATTTGTGGCTTAAAGACCGACCATTCTCGTTCACGCTCTTATTCGAATAACATTTGACGTTGAATTTTAGGGTGGTTTAATTCTACTTTAAGTTTATATCTAAATATTAAGGGTAACTGGCTGCAGACAGCGAAAGGCAGTAGGAGTTGAGACGTCGTGGGTTCAACCACTCGACATCTAACTCTTAACTGATTCTCCTTAGTTGCTGGCTACTTTGACATGGGCACCTAGATCTTGTCTGACAGATGGAATATCCCCAACGCGTTTGGGTGCTATGGCCACAGACGTTATCCGTCATGACTTAAAGAAGACAACGAGTACTGATAATGGAAGAATAATTTTGAATTTTCAGTCTCATTATAACGTTGTTTTCGTTTTGTATTAAGTTCATTATTGTTTTATAGTGATGATTTAATTGACAATTAATGTATTTAACAGCATTATAAGTATTTATATATATATATATATATATATTCTTTATCGTTCTTACAGTTATTGTACTTATTATTCTACCTGAAGGTTATCGGTGTATCTGAGGCTCTGAGCCTCTCCATTATTGATAAAACGCTTAACAAATAGGATGTTCTGTTAGTTATTGTTCTTACCTATAGGGTTTCGGCGTATCTGAGAGTACTTCATCATTGTGTATTAAATTCTTAACGAATGCGGTATTCATATTAATCTCAAAGTCATCAAACGTATGATTCATTCATTATTTTGACAGGTATTTTTCAATTACAGTTTTTAAAATCCAGAACATTTTCATCTACTCAGTCGTATGATATGATTACTTTTTTTTTACCTATATTTAAATAGACTAAATTTGGTCTTAGACTTTCTATTTGCACACTTCTTCGCTATCAACGGCTTCTTCTACTGTGACCTTTAATCATTTCAACGTTTTTCGTAAATAATTTTCTATCAGTCTTTCATTTATAAAATTTCCTCGTTCTCTCTCTCTATTTCCTCCTTTGGCAGTATAAAAGATGTTTCCGCGTTTTGCAAACAATTTTTGGTTTTTAGTTTCTTCGTTTTCCTTCTTCCTTGATATGTTTCTTTTCCAAAGGATTTTTAACCACTTTCGTATTTATTCCATCCTCATTTATTTAGGTGTCATGGTTTCTCCTCCCGAACCATTCCTCTCCTATATGACCCATCTCTTCTGATTTGTTTCCTTGGCCTTACTTCGATTCTTCCCCAGCTATGCCATGCTTATCCTTCTGCTTTAGATAGTGAGCGCGACACTGACCATTTATACTTTCTCATCTTGTTCTATTCTGTCTTTTGTAGTTGAAGAGAAATCTATTTTTGTAACCGTTGTAGTATGCAGGCATATTAACTGTTTTATACCTCGTATTTAATAGAAAAAAATCACAGTATATGTAGATTAACCTTGGCCAAGAAAGTAGTTGTAACAGTAGTTATGTTTCTTTTTCTCTAGTTATCTGTTGTATTGGCCCATTCACCTAGGACGTCATGTGTGCCTGCTGGTGGGGAAGATGCTGGTAGAACATGCTATGTGAAAGAAAGCAATCTTCTTCCACTGGCGGATCAGCTGATACTTTGATGTTACAACTTCTCTTATTCTTCGATAGGAAGGACCAACAGCAATTGGGTAGTATACATGTACGTACTGAGAAGAATAGCATTGTTGTTTCTTGTATATAATGCTTTGTTTTCTTAGTCAGGAGCAGTTCTTTAACAGATTCTTGATTCTTCACAGAGATCATTGGAAGCTCGAGAAAAGACACCGTTTATCGTACAGACTTGTTAACTTTATATTTTGTGTATTAATAAAAATGTTTCATATTGTTATGCATTATGTCCAGTTTCTTTCACTCTTCGAACTCAGTCAAAGCTGGAGAGTTGCTTCACAGTACACTTTCTGTCAAACCGCTTATAATTTTTGCGTAATTTACCTGGTTACTCTTAAGAGATGTCAGTGCACTTGAGACTACCACACCATCCGTGACCTATTTCTATTTCACTGATATAATGACAGTAATGAGGCCTAATTTCTATTTCAAGAGAGCGTTTCTGTGACGTGTCATAACTTTTAAATACTGGTTTGATTTATGTTAAGATTTTACAAATGTTAATAAACCTTTTTTACCATTCGGTATAGTTTTCGTTGTTTACCTATGGCTTGGCATGAGCGTATCTCTTACAGAAAGATGAGTACCATCTTAAAAATAGTTTGTACAGCAGAATATCATCTTCATGCAATATTATTTATTTCAGCTCGATAGCAACTACAGAAAACTAATTTTTTTTTATTCTTATGTGAAATTTTAGGCCTATTAATAAATCGTTATCTCCTCCTAACTTTTATTCTCAGCTGATTTTGTTCTTGAAACGTTTAGGTAGAAAGAATCCAAATCGACCTAATGGGGATTGTTTTTTAAATTTAAACCGACTTTTAATTGGTTTTATTATTATTACTCTCTGTAATAACCCGATCTACAATCCCGTTCGTTACACCAAGAACCAGGCAAAAGGCAAATATACAAATGTTTATTAAATCCAAAATATAAAACACAGTACACTACAAACAAAACAGTACATTACATTACAGAAAAAAAGGACAAGCGTGCCGTGCATTTGGAACTGATAAAAGAAATGAACAAAAACATTTATTGAAAATTTCCTCCACCTATTTGTTAGGTTAAACATAGTGATCTAAAAATAACCCCAACAAGTTAAAAGGTAAATCACTATACAACAAAGTAAAGTACTACAACTTCATTAAAACATCAGACTTCAGTTCCTTCAAAAACTTAATTCAAATTAAAACAAAACTAGTAAACAATGCATCTACTTAAGGCAAATTCTGACTAAAAATAACCCTGTAGGAGCTATAAAATTTCTAACACTCTAAAAGATTTAAAAAGAAAGAAAATCAGCAGAAACCTCTGCTGAGGCTGCGATGAATATTTATAACGAAAAACTTGTAAAAATCTTACACTCCCATGGCAGACCTGGCTTTAATTATGACAAAGAGTAATACGCACAAAGCCAAATCCACACCTGCTCCTATAGCTAGTGACTGGTCAATGGATTTGTAAATGGCGTGGCTGTTTATAACCATGATCTTATTCGCCAACAAGAAATATTACTGTGATTGAAATAGTGATTGAAACCTAATTAAGAACCCAACCACAGCATGCCTCTAGTGAAAGAGAAAATTGAGTAACTTACTTCGGCACCTTATTGCACGCAAATTGGGAATGATGAAGAGCAAAATAATGGAGAAACACTACACATTAACTAAGGAAGCAGAAGGTACATAGTATAGTCTCGCAGTACAGGGGTTTACTTAAACAGTGCTTCTTGATGTAATCATTCCAGGCCCTGCATGGCCAGGTGGTTAGGGCGCTCGACTCGCAATCAGTGGGTTGGGGGTTCGAATCCCCGTCCCACCAAACATGCTCGCCCTTTCAGCCGTGGGGGCGTTATAATATTACGGTCAATCCCAGTATTCGTTGGGAAAAGAGTAGTCCAAGAGTTGGCGGTGGGTGGTGATGACTAGCTGCCTCCTCTATAGTCTTACTCCGGTAAATTAGGGACGCCTAGCGCAGATAGCCCTCGTGTAGTTTTGCGCGAAATTCATAACAAACCAAAACAGATTTACTCCTATGACAAATTTTCTATCGAGGCTCCTGTCATTCTTTGGTGCCTACCAGAATACTCTAGAGAGAAATCAGTGCATCTGAGAATACCATAAAAGCTTGTTATTGTTACAATAATTATAAGTTATAAGAGAATGAACTTGAATCTTCGTATATTTATAAAATTTCAATGCAAAATCGTGTTTTCTTTAGCTCTCTAATGGCGTCATCTTTAACAGAAGTTTGCTTTATATCATTTTTTTAGTTTGCCGAAAATTCGAAAACAAGTTATAACTTTTGCTAAAATATTTTTCAGTTTTTTTTATGAGTTGACGATGAGTGGTGTTGACTAGCTGCATTTTCTCTAGTCTATCACTGCTAAACTTGGGACGGCTAGCGCAGATCAAACCAAGTTCCTGTATGTATTTTTATCTCCACAGTTCCACGTTTTCATATAATAATGTATACAATAAAGCTTCGAACCCAGTATTCATCTGTAAGATATATAGAGGAAGCACACGTACATTTGAACCATCTGTGAGAGGTTGGTTTTATATTACAATTTAATGAGCTGAAACATTTTAAAAGTGCAGCATGAGAATGCACCTACCTTAAAACGTCATGCACAGTGCATGAGTGTTTAGGTTTGTCAAACTTAATAGCAAAATTCTACTAAACTGACTTATAAGTTTAGAAACTGATTTTTTTATTAAAAACGAAGATTCCTAAAGAGATGAATGGAAAAATATCATTATTTAGATCAACCAGGCTATAAACCGTGAGTCTTTTTCTTTTAAACAATAAACTTGTTAAACTTCTTAGAAAAGTCTTTCTAGAGATTACATTTGTATGTGTTTTCTAGTGCTCAATTCAAGCTGTATAATTTTTATCCTACGAAGATAAAAAAAATCATAAACTACTGAGGTCATAAAACTATAAATACACCTATCTTTTGTACATAAAACTATAAATACACCTATCTTTTATACATAAAACTATAAATACACCTATGTTTTATACAAAAACTAAATACACCTGTCTTTTATACAAAGAACTATAAATACACCTATCTTTTGTACATAAAACTATAAATACACCTATATTTTGTACATAAAACTATAAATACACCTGTCTTTTATACATAAAACTATAAATACACCTATATTTTATAATCATAAAACTATAAATACACCTGTCTTTTATACATAAAACTATAAAAACACCTATTCTTTATTCATAAAACCATAAATACACCTATTTTTTATACATAAAACTATAAATACACCTATCTTTTGTACATAAAAATATAAATACACCTATCTTATATAAATGAAACTATAAATACACCTGTCTTTTATACAGAGAACAAAAATACACTTATCTTTTAGACATAAAACTATAAATACTCGTGTCTATTATACATAAAACTATCAATACACCTATCTTTTATAAATAAAATTATAAATACACCTATCTCTTATACATAAAACTATAAATACACCTATCTTTTGTACTTAAAACTAAAAATATACCTATAATTTATTCAAAAAACTATAAATACACCTATTCTTTATTCATAAAACTATAAATACGCCTATTATTTTATACATAAAACTATAAATACACCTGTCTTTTACACAAAGAACTATAAATACACTTGTCTTTTTTCATACAAAGAACTATAAATACACCTATCTTTTCTACATAAAAATATAAATACACCTGTCTTTTATACATAAAACTATAAAACCACCTATCTTTTGTACATAAAACTATAAATACACCTGTCTTTTATATATAAAACTATAAATACACCTATCTTTTATAAATAAAACTATAAATACACCTATCTTTCTACATGAAAATATAAATACACCTGTCTTTTATACATAAAACTATAAATACACTTATCTTTTTTACATAAAACTATAAAAACACCTATCTTTTGTAGATAAAACTATAAATACACCTATCTTTTATACATAAAACTATAAATACACCTGTCTTTTATACATAAAACTATAAATACACCTATCTTTTATACATAAAACTATAAATACACCTATCTTTTGTACATAAAACTATAAATACACCTGTCTATTATATATATAACTATAAATACACCTGTCTTTCATACAGAAAACTATGAATACACCTATCTTTTGTACATAAAACTATAAATACACCTGTCTATTATATATATAAATATAAATACACCTGTCTTTTATACATAAAACTATAAATACACCTATCTTTTGTACATAAAACTATAAATACACCTGTTTTTATACATAAAACTATAAATACACCTATCTTTTATAAATAAAACTATAAATACACCAATCTTTCATACATAAAACTATAAATACACCTGTCTATTATATATAACTATAAATACACCTGCCTTTCATACATAAAACTATAAAAACACCTGTCTTTTACACCAAGAACTATAAATACACCTATCTTTTGTACATAAAACTATAAATACACCTATCTTTTGTACAAAAAACTATAAACACACCTATTCTTTATTCAAAAAACTATAAATACACCTATTCTTTATTCATAAAACTATAAATACACCTGTCTATTACATATATAACTATAAATACACCTGTCTTTTATATATAAAACTATAAAACACCTGTCTTTTACTACAAAGAACTATAAATACACCTATCTTTTATAGATAAAACTATAAATACACCTGTTTTTTATACATAAAACTATAAATACACCTATCTTTTGTACATAAAACCATAAATACACCTATTCTTTATTCATAAAACTATAAATACACCTATATTTTACATTCATGAAACTATAAATACACCTGTCTTTTATACAAAGAACAAAAATACACTTATCTTTTATACATAAAACTATAAATACACCTATCTTTTGTACATAAAACTATAAATACACCTATCTTTTGTACATAAAACTATAAATACACCTATCTTTTATAAATGAAACTATAAATACACCTATCTTTCATACATAAAACTATAAATACACCTATCTTTTGTACATAAAACTATAAATACACCTATATTTTATAAATGAAACTATAAATACACCTGTCTTTTATACAAAGAACAAAAATACACTTATCTTTTATACATAAAACTATAAATACACCTGTCTTTTATACATAAAACTATAAATACATCTATCTTTTATACATAAAACTATAAATACACC